CTATTGTAACTACAACTACTCTAGGAAGACAGTTACTAGCAAGAAGATAAATACACCCTGGCCTACAATCCATTGCAAAGGTTTCTCTGGAGATACATTCATAGATACATCTCTTACAGTAGAACACGAGCAACTGTGTTCAGATGCAACTGTCTTTCCCGGGTTTGCTAAAATCATTCGCATGATAAACCCTGCATGGGAGCAGCAACCAGCTTTTTGGAGGAGACATGCAAGCACAGGAGACTCAGGCTGAAGAAGTAACAACAGAAGCCACACTGAGCACAAGTATTGTCTTTCCCCAGCTCTGAGGACTAGGCCACAATCAAGAGCACTACCTCAGGATGTTGGGTGGTCACAATAAACAGAATCACATGAACTGTTGAGCTAACCCAGCTGGCAAGTTCCAAAAACAAGCAAGGGGACAAAGCAGTACTGCAAAAGCCCCTTTGGTTGTGCTCCTTTCCATCACAGCTTACCAACGTCACTGGTGTCAGAGATGTTCTGCTGCAAAAGGCACAAGATTGATACAAAAGACACTGCAAACCTAAACACTGCCCACCTGAACAGCTGGGATATACACCTCTTCTGCTCAATTCACCTGGGACAGTGTGTTCACTATCTACACAGGACCCTCCGTAACCATTCCAGTTACTCTCAGTAATGTACATTCCTTACTGGCTTTAATGAAATTTAACTCCTATTTTTAATATCAATAAGCAATACGTCAATTTGTCAGTTGTGGAAACCAAGTTTTAAGTGCATTTTAGATAAAGACCAGAGTAACATTCATGTTCTGGGGTTAAAAAGAAAAAAGAATATCCTACTTCCTTTAACTTCAGCTCCTAGAAGATCTCCAACAGAATTTCCAAAGGAAACCAATGCTTCCCTTCCTTTTAAAAGAAAAAAAAACCCTCCTCTTTTCTCCAAACTGGCAAAAATTGTTATATGCACTTTCTACTTTAGCATCCCATACTTTACCTTCCCTTGCCCTGCTTTCACTTCCCAATTTGTAGTACATTTAACTTTTTGGTCTGGTCAATCTTAATTCAGATTAGCAGGAAATCAGCGTATAATTCTGAAAAACAGAACGTGCAGTCAGAAGACTGCAATCAGCATTTAATTTTATAACAGCTTCTTTTTGCATCAAAGCATAAACTAAGGTGGGTTATGGCTGCAAAATACTAACATCCATCTCTCAGATTTCTGATTTAATTTTAAAGAGAATAATTGTAAAACCACTGCCAAGAAAAAAAAAATTAGATATGCATCTCCTGTCCTCCTTGCCCTGCTTCCTCCATGGTTCTGTAGGACTCTTCTCCCTTCAGGACATAACATTCCGGGTTCTTCCTCCAAAATTTTCCACCATTTGCTGAGACCTTTTGTTTTAGTCTCAGTGAAGTTTACTTGTGCTTGTTGTTAAGTTCAGATATTTTTCAGCACTTCTGATTACTGTGGCTGAGAAACAGCATGGTAATTCTAATTTTATGAAAACAGCCAGAGGAGAAAGAAAACAACAGTTATACAACCCAGGCCATTTTCTCTCCAAATGAGAGAAAACAACATGCTTTAAAAAAAAAAACAAACCATAGCTCCAACCATCATTATTAAAGTGCGAGTGAATATTCAGCAAACTAGGAAGCTAGTGAAAGATCATAAAAGTCCTTTTGGAGGTCTTCCCGCATGAATTCAAATCAGTGTACCAAAATAAGCCATTCTCATACAATGAAGCGATCCTACAGTTACAACACCATCCTTGGGTCAACTGCAAAACAGAAGCTTTTTCAACTAACTCTTCATCGTTAAAGAAGAGTGTGTTTTACATGGGGAAAAAAAGACAATATACACTACTAGTTTCAGATTGCTCCAAATCCAACGTAGTTATAGACAATCCTGAAGGGCTAAATTGCATCAGATTCTCACAGTATAGATTCCATACAGGTCCTCACCTCTATCCAGTAACCAGAGGTATTTCAGTCAACCTTCTTCAGTTAACTTTAAAAGCAAAAGCATGTAATTGGCTATTTCATCCAAACTGCAGTATCTGCCCCATGAAAGGTCATTTACATCATCAGACCACTGCGTAACCTAAAGCCATGCCGTTTCTAGCAACAGTACTTCAGACGGAGTATTTCCTTCAACTCCTGACAACTTTTTAGCACATCCTTAAAGTCTGCACAGCACTATTCTGCAGAGACAAGTTTTTGCCTTTCGAACTAGTACCAATATCACTTTGAAGAGGCTAAATCCTATCCTGCATAAATTGGGACTAGATATATTTACTAGAGGAAGACACAATCTACCAAAATACCACATAGCAGAATCATTTCAGTTGGAAAATACCTTTAACCCTGAGTCCAACCATTAATCTAACACTGCCAAGCTCACCACTAGACCATATCCCTAAGCATCTCAACTACACATCTTTTTAAACTCTCATCCCAGTCTTACCACTATTCTACAAACGGTTTTGTATTTTAAGTGACAACTACCTAAAATCTTAGTTCACAGTTTAAAATTAATCACTTGGAGACTGGATTAGGGTGGTAGAAACAATGCACTATGCTTCAGCTTTTAAAATCCAACCTTTGTTTTAGTTATCACCAAGAAGCCAGCAATTTGGGGATTTGCTTTTTTGTTTAAAACTGTAAATAGTATTTTCTTTCGAAGTGTAGATTTACTTTGCTGTCTAAAGGCTGAGAACTACTTACATGAATCTAGTACATGCCATCTATATAAATGTAATAAAAAACAAAATATGATGATCAAAGCATGTGACACCCCGCGGTCTTTCAGTGATTGGGAACAGCAAGCACTACATTTGCTTTTACTTGAGCCACTCAGTAATTTGTAATGAAAATGTTATCAACCATCCCACAAGGCTTATTAAATAAACATAAAATGGTATCAAACTTGAAAAAAAATCTTAATAAATACATATCATCAGTTTCTGAATCTTTTCCATTACTGCAGAAGTGTCTCTGATTGAAAACACAGTACTACATCAGCTCTAATCTGTTTTGATTTTAGACAACCTATGCAAATTAATAAAATGCTAAACATAAGTTAAATAGTAAAATGAAATTTAAATATCAATATTCTATGTATAAATTCCTATTGAAGCAACACTTTAAGAGCAGATTATCTAGACTGTAGTTTCATAACTTGACTTACGATTAACACATTACTGATGTCTTGTTACCCTGTTTTTTATTAAACAAATTGCCATCTTAATGCTTAACAGCAAGATCTGGAAGAAGATAAATGCACAACTTTTATATCAACATTACAAAGGTATTGATTCCAGGCATTCAGATGGAAAAAAAAAGTATATTAAAAAATAGAGCTGTCTGACCAACAAAAGTTTAAATTGTCACCAAGTACTATATATACTAACAAATTTTCGCTAATTACTTTTAATGAAGACTTCTATTTGTGTCACGCTTTGACAAAAGAGAACAAGACTTGTAAATCACATGTCAAATAAGAAAGAAAAATAAGCACGAGAAAGAATTTCATAGACATGTATCTTTGCTAAAGTGAAAGCAAAATTCTTGTGAGGTTCTTCAGCAAGAAATGAATCAGTAACATAAAATCTAACTAGAGAATATGATATTAGCCAAGATGAAGAAAATACTACTTACAGCGCTATTCAAACATCTTTTTCTTGTCAGTCTTTGGCACGTCTACACTTCTGTTGTCCAATTAAAAGTTATTAGCACAACTTTCAGAACCTGACATTTTTCCTGCTCATTACATTCAGAAGGCTAACAACCAACTGCTACAGCAGAGATCACACCACAAAGCATCTGCTTCTCTGACAAGTGCCCAATGTGGGGAGAAAAAAAGAAAAGATTTAAAAAAAAAAATAAATCGATATGCCACAGAACTCTTCTGCTTCTTTTACACTTAAATAAGTACAAGTTGGCTGTGCTACAACAGACAGTATTGCTGGAAAACCTTTGCTGCTTCTTATTGGACCTGAAGCACAACTGAAGATAATACTGTCAGTACAACAGTCAGATCAAACTATACAGCAATCTCATTTAAGGCAAAGTACATGTCGTAAAATCACATCATCTTTGAAGGGCATAGTCTACTATTTTTCAAGAGATCAGATGTTTATAAAGAAAATAAAAAGAAAAAAAACAAATAAACCCACTTTCTTCTTCTAGAAACTATTGCTGAATAAGTTTATCTGCATTACCAAAGGACAAACCCGAAACATCTTATTTCCAGTAAACACTCTTGACCTTCAGAAAACCTGAAATTTTCCAAGGTTCACATGGAGTGCAGTAAGATCAACAAAAAAAAAAAGGTAAGAGTCTATTACACACAATAGTTACTTGATTATTTCGTGAGATTGCTCATGTTATTATAATAGATGCATTTCCCATTACTTGGTCAATTTGCTCATATTACTCTATTTCTTCTATCACTCTCGGACACAAAATATTTTACATTTCATTCAAAGATAGCAAGAAAAGTCTTTCAACAATGTTGACTGGCAGTTTGCCACTACCACCACTGAATCATCAGGGAAGACAGAAAGCAGCACCAAAAATAACATTCTCCAGCCTGGTCCATTGGCCATATGTTACACAGAAAGAAAAAACAATTAAACAACGCAAAACAAAAAAAAAAATGCAAACCGCAACAAAAAAAAAAAACTGCCAGAGACCCAGAGACCATATGTTTTTCCAACAATTATAAAGCAGGAAAAAGACCCTAAAACATAACTAAACAGCCTGGACAAACTCCTTCCTCCAACAGCAGCATTTGGTTTTCTTCAGGTACGTTTTTTTCCTTTTTAATGAGGATCACTCCCAGTTAATTTTCTACTAGCAGGTGCGTATTCCTCACCAATACCTTCTGGAGCAGAGCAAGTCAACAAACAACTTGCAGATGGCTAACACACAACAGCAGTGCACATGCCTGTGCTATTCCTTTTTCTGCCATACAGCCACGGGAAGGTCAGTTTGATTTTGGGACGTTTTACTTACCTTTCCCATTTTGCCATGCAGTATACCAGGACAAACTAAGGAAAGTAGTGATGAAAACTAATATGGTGGCCACAGTTCCATTTCGGAGCCTCATCTCATTTCAGCATCACACTTGTTTATGTCTTGTTAGTGATGAGGATATATCTGTTGGGCTGGCTGCAACGAAGTCAGCTGAAGTCCACCAGCAGCAGCGGGCCAATAGCGACACAAAACGTAGCTCTCACATATCAGAGGTATCACAAATCAATCCATGTCAGACTGTTGTAAGCTTTCTTACAGGTCTCATGAATTAAGCTTCTCTTTAATCTTCCAGTCCTGATTAAAGGAAATAAAATTTTTGCAGATTACACTAAAAATATTTACAGGAGTCCCACAGGTATCTAAATACAGTAAAGAAATACTACTGTATACAGTCACTCACGTGCACCTCCCTCGCACTGCCTCGAGTCTTGGCTCAGAGAACAGAACTTGCTAGATTAATTTTTCCCTTAAGGTTGCTCCAGTCTGGAGGAGCTGTATTTCACATGAATTTGGTCATAAAAGGACAAACATACCCATCACCAACATTACAATTTCATCATAAACTCAAGATCACGTGTCACTGGCAGGTGATGAACTGATACAGGAGTTGTTTTCAAGAAACCAGCTACTCATGGCCCCGCTCCTAAGTACTCCCTTTGACAGCACCCTTGTGAAACCAGGGAGGCCTGATGTTATTGCAGCAGCAGAACCGCCCACAGCAAACTGAGAGATCAAAGCTTTAAACAGCATTTACCATCCTACATCACTCCTCTTTCTCTGCTCAGTCCAAGGGTACTAGATCCATTCGCAACCATTTTTTCCCTGGTTTTGCTGCAGCTAAAGCACAGGCTACAGTCACACATGAAGAGACTGCTCAATCCATATCAGCTGGCAACAACCCAAAAGCCACACAAAACACCATGATATGACCATATCACTCTTCTATCTCCGCCACACAGGCACAAGGACAAAACACAAAAATTACCTACAGTTCCCTTTTATTCAAATGAAGGTTCAATATCCTGAGATGAGAAAATCCTCAACTGGCCAAACAGAGCCAGCAT